GGTACAAAGCTCTGCGATATCACCTCCAGACGAGCGTGTGTGATAGTTAATTGGCTTAATTGAAGATCCGTTTGAAGACATTTTGCACTTTTTAAATACAACCACACCCTTAAGACCCTTCTTATGTTTGTTCTTTTCTCCAGAAACATTGAGGAACTTACAAGGGTAACTAGGATAGCAACAAATGAGAAAAAACTGTGACATGCAAGTACTTGAAGCATACTTCTATCTGCTTTCCATAAACAACTCACCCACAATTATGCTATATACATTCTATCAAGGAGTCAAGAATTTCAACAAAGTGCGTCAATATAAATAATATCCAGATTTTCTAATCTTTATGTAGCCACAGCATTAAACTCTCCGACTGAGAGTGTAGACAAAAAACATAAAATTCCATAATTTGACAGTAGATAGTTTAAATGGAATTTGTCTGCATTTTAAATTAATATGGCAGCTGCAACCGATAAATTGAACAGAAATATTTACTAAAAACTGAGTTCGAAATGAATTGTAATTGGAACATTTAAATCTATACGACACTCTACACAGTGTGTTAAAGTTTAAATTCTTTTAATAAATAGGGTTAAAGTTGCGAGATCTTCAGGTGAAAGTCATTCGACTGTCAACGTGTTTTGTTTTCAAGCACATAATTTATTTCAGGGCGGCATTGTCTATACCACTTAAACAATAATTTATCTGATTGCTGTGATTAATGCTTAAAAACGTCACCAGCTCGCCAGTGGACAAGGAGAACATGAAAACAGATTCTCCGTAAATAATTCGGAAATGTCAACAAGTCGTCTCAAGTTTTTTTAAACCATGTGATAGGCGGCATTTTAATATAATTTTAGTAATTGCACTCAAAAGATTCAGAATTCCTTTAGAAAGAAGGCATACGATTATCAGAGAAGCGTACATTAGCAAACGAAAACCACAACGTTTCCTCACGTTAAGAATAAGACGCTTATACAAAATGAAGAGCTTACCAGGTGGATACATAATTGGTCCGACCTTGTTTGAGGGACCCCTTCCGCCACCATTGCCATCCGCAGCTGGCTTCGTATTGGCCCATACTTCCACGAAATAGGCACCCGGTTTTTTAAGAGGTCCCGAGGAAAAGTTGCCATTGGGCACCTTTTTAGCCACGTCAACCTTCTCGCCATTTAGGTAGAACACGAACTCATAAGAGTCAAGCTCTCCATTTAACCGAGGCTCTCTGCATCTTACATCGATCTGTGTTGAACTACTAGAATACCCGATATAATATATTTCCGGCATCTCGGGTACTAAAAATTGTAAAAGCAAATAAGATTAAAATGGAGTTCACATGATAAAGGCACATGAATTAAATTGACACAATGACCCTAACCGATTTCTATGGTGCACAAATAATTAACAAGAACCCTAAGATTTTTCAAAAATGAATAAGTCACTTTCTAGAACATTCGTATATCCAAGTCCCTGCCTTGAAAATTAATCTTTCAATGTCCGTTTCATTTGCAGCCGCGTATCTTCGTTTAATCAAAACAACGCGAGAAGTACTGATAACTCATATTAGGTATTAGCAAATGCCTAACATGGTGATAAAAACCAGTTTATATGGTAATGTGTAAAGTGCTTCAAAATTTGAATTGTCCCTGCTGCGCTAGACACGACAAATCTTAAAATAATTACCTCAAACTTCAGTAAGTAAACATTCAAAAACTGGCAAACGGTATAAGTACATTGAAGTTTGATACTACAAATCCTTGACGTGGATCAGCCATACCCTAAATTTGCTAATAACAGCCGTATTCTGTAAGGAGCTTATGACTCGGCCAAATTATTTAAAAAGTATACCTGTGAAGACACATTCA